AATAGAGTTATTTTTGTATTAAGCATTGATTCAAGAATTTTTTGTGGTTCTTTTCAATAACTATAGAGAAAAGTAAAACAAGAATTCTTTCAATAAATTTTTTTTCCCGTTATTAACTTACGAACAAAATTCACCACAAATCCATGCAGCAGCATATAAAACTTCGGGGACAACTGTAGAATTTGAATCATGAATAAAAACATAATCATTTTCAAGAAGAATTGCCTGAAAGAATAGAAATAAAAAAAATTTTTCGTGATTTTATTTTTGACAAATTTCTACCATTTGATTACAAGCAAATGAACGAATAGATTCAACACGAACAGCAACATCAAGCATTTGTAAAGATATGAGATTATTATGTTTTGTACCTTCAAGATGAGTTAATTCAACCAATATACTACTATACCTATTTTAATAAATAATGTTTTTTTCTATTAATAAAAATTAAAAAAATAAATGTAAACCAATGCAAAATTAGTTATATGTTGATAATCATTTTGACTATATATTTCAATTATTTTTGAAAGTAATTCATTTCAATAATGTGAACTTTCAGATTTATTCATATGAACCATTAATTTATGTACGATATCCATTAGAGTTTTTCTTGTTACCTGAACAAAAAAAAAAGAATTCATAATCAAAATTAAATTTATTCAAATATTGAATGATCAGATTTTTTTTTATTAATAACTTTTCTCCATCGAATTATCATACCATCTCAAACAAAAGCTCAATTAATTAAAGAGATCAGTTATTCATGTTTCACTCTACTTGTTTAAAAGAATTTCGAGAATTGATCTAACCAGGCTAATGATTTCTGCAGGAAAATGGTAAGAACTTGGAAGAATGAATCCGATCGCCGGATTCCTTCTTCCAAGTTCCTACCGTTTTCTCGAGCTTTTTGGCCGGAAACAGTCCGTACTTCTAGACCTAAGTTGAAATTACTAGATTTTTTTAAATGTTTCATCGATAAATAATTTTTTGTGGTTTAAAAACCGATAAAAAATATAGTAAAATGATTACGAATGATAATCATAGACTAATAAACATAAATCATATTAATCTTTGTTTTTAAGACACATCTAAATAATACAAAGAATTTACAAAAAAATTAAATTGACTAAAACTACAATAGTCATTGGAAATAAATAAGAGTTTGTAACGATCATTGTTTCATATCAATTCATAACACTTTTTATATAGGAAAGCTGTCCTAAAGCACAATTTCTATGTAACCAAATAAGAGCTGATGCTGACTGGAAAATTGTAAGCACTTGGAAGCAG